GCGCTCCAGCGGTCCTGCGTGATGTTGGTGGTCACGTCTAGTGGCAGGGAGTGACGCCGCTGGTCATATAAATCATTTTGTGTCCACAGCAGCAGCACCCAGTGCTGTCCATACCTATTCATACGTATAGATTTACTAATGATAAAATCATAAAAAAAACTTGCTTCATTCTACAAGGAAAACTATCTGTGCATTTAAGAAATGTTATTCGAGGTCTTCTGTACCTAAACGCACACAACTGAACGCGTAGTGCAGGCAGGGCAATTTTGTCAGTCTGGCAAGTGAAAATATTCTAGCATATCAATATGACATTTTAAATCAGGGAGTTCGTGGATCAAATATTGATAAAACATTCAATGAAGTACAGTTGATCAGTGATGGAAACTTACGGACCAACTTCGACCTCAACATACTGGTTGTCGGCGTTCAGGAAATAGACCTCCACCACTGCTCGAGAAGAACGAAAATAAAAATGTATCCCTCCCGCAGGACTAGTGTTTGATGGAAGAGCCTATTTTGTTAATAATGACAACTTAATGATACATTCAGGTTCGATTCAATCTTGCTGACCTGGTATTATAAGGTCGCCGGATGCGAAAGAAGTCAACTCCGCGCTTGGTTACTCTAAGTTTTCTGCGTTCCTCATAATGAACTCATTAACTATATGATAATTAACATATTTAAAAATATCAATTGATTTGATACCATAATTCAACTTTGACCACTTCGTATTCCTTTTTACGGAATTAAGCTTCATTTTTAGCGTGGTTCTTAAGCGTTGATTGTTGTACAGTGAGCGAATAAAACCCATTCAGGCTGCAAATGTTTCAATTAAGTTGCTAAGTAATACCTTAATAATAATATATTAACATGTTTTAGTGAATAATATATCAATCAATAATTATTTAATACATAATAATTGAATAAATAATAAATAAATCATGAAAAATCACTCAAATATATTCTATATATTTTTGAACTGACGATGGAGTTTGTCTCTGAAATATTTTTTCAGATATTTCTTGAACTTGCTGATGTTTTCTTTGCTTTTAAATTCTTAATGATCATAAGTGAAATAAAGATAAAGTAATAACTTAAAAACTATAATAAATAAATAGATGATAACATACATTACGATAGTCTCTCACCCTCATACTTGTATAGGTCAGGGAAGGCGTGGCCAGGTATACCACCCGGCGCAGGGTCGGCGTCAAAGAAAGGAGCGTCAACGGTGAAGAGAACCTCCTCTTCATCCCCTTCCAGGACCACAGTGAGAGGCGCGTGTGGTACCGACGTACCGTTCCAGTACGTCTTGATGCGGTAACGTAGACGTCTGATTGCCGGAAGTTCGTAGAGTTCTCAATTATTTCATTTGAAAATCCTAATTATGATAATTTGAAAACAAACAGAAAATGTTATGTTTATCATGACGCTAGTTTTTTTTGCAATCAATGCAACCAACTCTCAATAGAGTAGGTTCCCCTAGGTTGCCCTGGATATATTTAAGAAGTAAACAAAATGAGCTCATTTATTTAATCTCTGAATGAAATCTTGTTCTAATCATGCTTTATATGCAAAGAGAAAAATTTAAAAATCTCTTTAAGTTATGTCCAGTAGAAATTGCTCTCATTTTTGGCCGTTTCGTGCTCGTGCACTAGACCCTACTAAATGTATTGATTTTATTCTTATAGCCTCGATTAGAATAATAAATATGTAATTTAACAGACTAAAATAGAGGCTATAGCCTTATAACATCTATATCGCTGGGTAATGGTGCGCTTTCGTTGATAATTTCGGATGATTTGTTTAGCTACAGATGATAATTATTAAAAAAGGCATAGAAAAAATATTTCAAAACATTTTAAAAGGCACTTTCTGCAGGTAGCACTAATACACGCTTGGCAAAAGCGGGTCCGGAAGGCCCTCACAAGGGCAAGAAGCATGGTTGAATTAAATAATTTAATATTATATATGTATTAATTCAATCATGTATTAATTCAACCATGGGCAGGAAGTGCATCGCTATTAGGAGAAAGTTTTTTTAGTTTTCTGAGTGTTAATAAAACCCAACACACCCTTCCAGAGCGTCGGTCCAGAGCTCGGTCATGGGCCGACTGCTGAGGTCGGGGATGAGCTGGTCCAGGTCAATGGGTGCGTAGTACTGCAGCGCGTGGCTAAAGCAAGGACATGTATTAGTGTGTAATAATAATGATAATAATAATAATAATAATAATTCCAGTTTCTGGTTAGTACAAAATTCTGGTGATTACCAAGGGTGGAAATTTCAAGGAGACTGTGAATATGTCATGGATTAAAATCCAAGTTTGTATCCTAAATGGAAAAATGTGTTTCGTAATCTCAGAATTGAATCATTTTTCCGCAAGAAAAATCGATTTTCCCGCAGGAAATTAAGTCAGAAATTTCTGTGCTGCCACTGACGCTAGGCGGATTTTCCGCAAGAAAATTTGACTTTTCCGCAGGAACTTAAGTCTTAAATTTCTGTGCTGCCACTGACGCTGGGTGGAAGGTACTCAGTGGGGAGGGCAAGCCTGGTCTCCCAGTGGACGAGGCCGTCAGTGTCTACAATGAAGGAGAAGTCGACGCTGTCCGGAGGCAAGGAAAACCTGACGTTCTGGCGCACTCCGTCGAAGAGCAACACGCAATGCAGACCGTCTCTGGAAATAATCTTTTATGAGGCTACTGATTTTCATGGGATCACAGGAAAAAGTAAAAAACGTTGTCTATATGAACTTAAACTGAAACTGAACTGAAACTGAAGGAAAACGTTGTCTATATGAACGTAAACTGATATATAACGAAATTATACTTACTCGTTTAGAGAGTGCTTCCAATTCTAGTGCGCGTGACAATAAAGGTACTTCCATATTACAATGGAATATTTCCGGGGTTTAAAATATCTATACTTAGTTCTAATTTACTACAAAAATATTTACACAGCCTGATATGAGACTTCCTACTGCTGCCAGATTCAATGTTATCAGCGATCTGCCATTAAAATCAAACGGTACCCTTCTTTAATGCAATTTAAGCCTTCGATACTATGCAATTTAAAGATATTGTACAAAAGGCAGCGTACTTTCGGTATGCTTTCGTGCGGGACCGCAAAGTGGAACTTGAGCGCAAAGATTTCAACAACCAAGTGTGACTCTGGGAAGAAAAAATTATAAAAACTTCGGCAAAAAATCAATTTTGTCAATTAAACATGCATATAAGATACCTCAAAATATTAAGTAAACAAAATCTAGCACTAAAGCGGCATGAAACGCTAAAATATGTGTACGGAAACCTATCCTAAATTTTCTATGTAAATTCTACACAATCAGACGAATAGGATTTGCCCCAAAATCAGACGCGTAAACTGAAAGAATATCAGCGTCAGTATCGCGCTGTCAGGAGCAAGACTCACGGCGCGAGCTGGACTTGTATGTATTGATCAGCGGCGTTGGCGAGAAAGACGTCCATCACTGCAACGAGGTATTAACGTTATTATCATTATTAATATTATTGTTATTATTATTATCATGATTATAATTATTTTTATTATTATTATTGATATTATTATTATTATTACTATTATTATTATTATTATTATTATTATTATTACTATTATTATTATTGTGATGGGAGCTAGGGTCCTCTTGCACTTCATGGAATTGCTGCCTAAAAACAGTTCAGCAAAAATGATCGCTGTGCCCCTCTTTTGGTAATGTAATTGAATTCATTTCTGAGGGGCATTTAATATGATGATTTTTATTCATTTGGGGAAAAAAACAACCGATTTTATTGCTAGACACGCGTATTAAGTTATTGGTTATCTCGGAATTTTGCTAATGATCCATCAGTGGAAGTTATTAACGCTTAAATAGTAAACACCCGTTCATAAATTTTCTTCGCCTTTTCTAAGTCCGTATTTCGACCAAGAAATTCCAAAAATTTCGATCATTATAAACAAATCATAACATTCGGGGGCTCAATTTCATGCTATCTTATTTTTTTAAATTCGATTTCTCTACAAAAAATTGCTTACTAATTCACGGCGAGTTATATGGTCGGGTCTATATTATCCTCCATCGTATACAATGATAGACCATCATTAGGGAGCGAAAGCCAATGATTTCAATACTTCTCTTAATAAGTAGTAGTTCATGTTAGGCTAACCACCGATAGCTGCCGCGAATGAAAATGGGACCCTACCTAACTCCAGAAAAGTGTCGATTTTACACCTACTCACTTACTGAAATAATTTCAGGTACATGGATTCAATACTTTCTGAATTAGTATATCAAAAGATAGCTGCCGAAAATGGAGCTGGATTGCCACTAAAGTGGAGAATTCTGATATTTTTTCATGCATGATGATTTAGTATCTGAATCTCTGTCAACCTACCATCATCTTACCCTCATAGTCCCAGAGTCTTAATATGTCAGACTCTGTCAACCTACCATCAACTTACCCTCGTAGTCCCAGAGTCCCACTATGTTGAACTCTTACCCTCATAGTCCCAGAGTCCCACTATGTCGGACTTTATCACCCCACCATCATCTTACCCTCATAGTCCCAGAGTCCCACTATGTCGGACTCTGTCAACCTACCATCATCTTACCCGCATAGTCCCAGAGTCCCACTATGTTGGACTCTGTCAACCAACCATCATCTTACCCTCATAGTCCCAAAGTCCCACTATGTCGGACTCTGTCAACCTACCATCAACTTACCCTCGTAGTCCCAGAGTCCCTCATAGTCCCAGAGTCCCACTATGTCGGACTCTGTCAACCTACCATCAACTTACCCTCATAGTCCCAGCGTCCCACTATGTCGGACTCTTACCCTCATAGTCCCAGAGTCCCACTATGTCGGACTCTGTCAACTTACCCTCATAGTCCCAGAGTCCCACTATGTTGGACTCTGTCCACCTACCATAAACTTACCCTCATAGTCCCAGAGTCCCACTATGTTGGACTCTGTCCACCTACCATAAACTTACCCTCATAGTCCCAGAGTCCCACTATGTTGGCCCCCGGGAAGGCCCCGCTGGGCTGAGGATTGCCATAGTAACGCGCCGTTGCCGTCACGACGATGACGTCATCACCGGCGCTGGCTAGGCTAACGTTAGCGTAGTTGCCCGACGGCAGGGACACGTTGTTCCATGTCGTCGTTATGAGGTACGATAACGAACTGTGGCGTGGTAAGTAATGATTCATGTTGCATTTTTTATGAAAAATTACATGGATCTGCATTTCTGAAAAAAATGCAGATCTACATTTTTGAGGTAATGAACGTGGATCTGAATTTTTTGATAAAATTGCTTATATCACAAGCCCTATGAGTACCAGCAAAAACATTTCACAAATGTACATCATTAGTTTAGTTTCAAATTCGCATGTATTTAATCAAAACAGGTTCAATGGATAGCATGATCATTCTGGCACGTAGATACAATTTTGGTCAAAAAATCAAAATTGTATCTGGCTCCTAGAAAAAATTTTGTCAGTCCGAGCCTTTATATTGCATTTTTGCAACTCTTTAAATGTCGTGAACCGTATGGGTCTTTGACGATAATAGAACCCTCTTCTACATTTTTTAGAATCTTGGCATAAACTGGTGAATAGTTTGAAGAAATACATGAGATGGAGTTTAATTCTAATATGATATCTGACGGTATTTCTCTCAGGTATTCACATTATTTTTAAACAACCTTTCCAATACTCACTCCGCATTTACAGTGCAGGTCAACAGTAACATCCACAGCAGCGTCGTTACGTACGCTTGTTCTGTTCGCCATCTTTACATGGAAAAAATTATATTTATATTTTATTAGGACAGAGTATTAATTCCATCAGTAAACATTTACCCATAGTCATTCCTCAATCTGCATTCTCATGAAGTACTTTCGTCTTAGTAGAAATCTCAGTTGTACCAAGGCTCTGATTATAAAATACATCAGTAAAGCATTCACGAAACAAATATTTGTAGCCTATTATTCACATCCCACTGTAAACATTATTGCAAGTGTATCACGTTATCTACGAACACAGTCGAGATATGAGTATAAATATCGATTGCTGCGCCTTGCAGCTGCTATCGTTCCTTCGATGTTAAGATGGTTGTACCTGACAATTATTGATCGTTACTTTAATTAATTAATTTCAAAAGTAATTTAATGCTATATGAAATTTCAGGAAACTTTTTAGCGCATTTTCTCATTTATGGAAAAAATGCACTATTGTGCTCGCCATGTCCGTCCGTCCGTCTGTCCGCCTGTCTGTCTGTCTGTCCGTCCGTCTGTCCGTGACCTCAAGTTTTCGCGTCCGTCCGTCTGTCTGTCCGTCCGTCCGTCTGTCCGTGACCTCAAGTTTTCGTCGACGAGAAAATGCGCTCTCTGTCACTCACTGCAGTGAGTACTGAGTTATATTTTTTTATCTGTATGAAACTCATGTGTATGAATCACTTCACAGAATTATTTTAAATATAGAACGGTATTTGAACTTTTCGTGTCGTTTACTGTATGTTTTTTTCCTGAAGGCATTTCGTTCACCATTATTTTTTAGGTGTACATTAAAGCTCATTCCAAAGCCAACTGAACTTGCAGCGAATTTCTTCCAATTAAAGTCCGTTGCTTCATTTAAAATTATCTCGTGACTATAAATGGAATACATCGTATATGCCCTGATTTGAATATATTTTTTATTCATTATTTTTTAATATCCGATAATGGGAAGTCCGGATATTGTTTTCAGGCCTAGTGCTGAACAATTATCCAATTGCAGAAAATAATATGTCATTGTAATCACCTATTTATTATAAATCGCCCCTCGCTGTTAAATATATTTACTGACAAGAGATCCTTATGAAAACTGACGTAGAATTTCAAATGTTCATCTCATTTTAATTTCTAGTTTCTATGTAAGTGGATTTCAATAAATGTAATCAAAATTAGCATTAGCGTATTTTTTAATTTACTATTTGTCAATAAATCAAGATATGTTTTAAAAAATTTTTCCTCCGCTGCTCCCGAATCCATGTGCGAAGATTACTGAACTCCTCAAAAGTCTTCTCATTGCCGTTAACTTTTCAGAATTGATAGCCATACAGGTTTTTTATTTTCTCCCGGTGACTAAATGTTATAAATTCTAAAAATGAACTCTGATATCCAACAGAGGACATCAGCGTAATACTTATCACTATTTGTGATCATATGCGATAGTGCTTACTTTGAAAAATCTGTCGTCTTGCATTTTCTGTCGTTATACTATGTTCAACGCATTCGTAAAAAATGCACTCCGCAACAACTCCAACAATTGTAAATGGTGATTTTTTGTAACTCATTACGGTAACTTAAAAAATATAACTCAGTACTCACTGCAGTGAGTGACAGAGAGAGCATTTTTTCAGATAGCGCATTCATTTCCGCAGACGGACGGACAGACAGGCGGACATGGCGAGCACAATAGTGCATTTTTTCATAAATGAGAAAATGCGCTAAAAAGACACCTAACCACTCGTATGCTGAGGTAGTTACCCCAAAGTACTAATAGTAAATAGTTAAGCCCTCCCCCCTTTCTCCCTCTCACTATAGATTCCTACTCACCTGGCTCAAAAAAGAATTAATTTACACAAATTTTAATTATATGACAAATTTAACAGTGAGAAGTCAAACGAAAATCTTTTTATAACAACACATCTCTTTAACATCACTTCTTGTTGTTTGTTTGTCTGCTACAAATCTTATAATCGATATTTAACACACTTCTACCTCTCCAATCGATCTGAAATCGATTTTGAACACTAACGCAAAGTTGCAGACAATGCATGAAGCAATTGAGAGAATAATTAAATTTTAAAAGTAAAAGTTTTTTACCTTGATGTACTCATGATACAAGCCTCGGTGAAGAGCCCAGAAGCAAATGCTACAACAGATCAGTGAGGTGTAACTGAAGCAACTGCCCGAGTATGTGACATGTGCCTGTGAGCTGATAAGAAGATCCTAACTCCCATGGACGCTCTCGAGTTATAATCATGTGTGATTACCGCGCCTGCGGACATGTTTTCAAGTTCTTACAAAGCGCGTCGTGAATGGTAGAAGGTCGTGAAGGTAACATAGAGTATTACTACATCTGAGGATGTTATACGTTAAGGAAAGTTTATATAGTTCTGCTCATGGTTATTATAACATATTACAATGAGTTATATTGACGATGAATTTCAAACTATCGTCAGTCTTGAAAAGATCCGGTCAAATGACACGATTTTAGATCTTCTGTGAACAAATCCGAAAAGTAAAAGAATCGGTGACAGGCCACATCAGGCCTACTCTTCAGCGCTGACATCACTATGTTATGTTATGTTATGTTAGGTTAATATCTTGACTATCGCAAGAGGAGCGTCAGCCTTACTGTATAGTTATCCCAGGAATACATTTTCTTTGAAACGTAGAAAAGTCTCGGGAAATAAAAACGAAAATGTCCATTTATTTGTAACCTTCATTGTAATTATTTCGCTACCTATGAATAAGCTCGAATTTTAGAAAAAATATTCAAAAGCTAGGTCGTGAAGGTAACATAGAGTATTACTACATCTGAGGATGTTATACGGTACGTTTAGGAAAGTTTATATAGTTCTGCTTATGGTTATTACAATGAGTTATGTTGACGATGAATTTCAAAATATCGTCAGTCTTGAAATGATCCGGTCAAATGACACGATTTTAGATCTTCTGTGAACAAGTCCGAAAAGTACAAGAATCGGCGACAGGCCACATCAGGCCCACTCTTAAGCACCGATATCACTATATTATGTTATTTTATGTTAATATCTTGACTATCTCAAGGGGAACGTTCAGTCTTACTCTATAGTTATCCCTGGAATGTATTTTCTTCGAAACTGAAAAGTCTCGGGAAAGGAAATCGAATATTCACATTTATTTCTAACCTTCATTGTAATTATTTCGCTACCTATGAATAAGCTCGAATTTTAGAAAAAATATTCAAAAGCCTTGAATTTAGCACCTTGATACAACAACCTACGGGGTCTAAATAAAGATAAATCAATATCAATTTCTTCACCTACAGAAAAGCACTATTACATTTTTCATAACCTTGTTACCGATTTTTCCCAATATACACGAATATTAACATTTACATTAATTTAATTATCTGAAAGGTTGTCTGTAAATTCTTCAAATCATGTCACAAAAATTCATGTAATTTTCCCATACGAATCATATACTTCGGTCTGGTATTGTGATAACTCCTAATCTTATCTCTATAAATATAGAGATAATATAAATATAAATATAGGAATAGGAAAAATTACATAATTACATATTTATATATATCTATAGCTCTATACCACTGATTAATATGTCTATTAATTTCGCTACAACTTTCTAGTGCAAAGCTTTATTATTTAGTGGAAATGAACAGCGAATATAATCTATTAAATTATTCTGATTCCAAGAGAAGGAAGTTTACTCAGGCTTATCGGGCTGCCTTTGTTTACTTCGTGGCTCTATAACAGAGGGTTCATAAAACCTCATGACCAGGGTTCAGCACAAAGGGGTTATAAAACCTCAGACAACGGGTTCAGCACAATGGNTTCAGTAGAAATAGTTCATAGAACCTCATGACAAGAGTTCCGTATAAATAGTTCATAGAACCTCATGACAAGAGTTCCGTATAAATAGTTCATAGAACCTCATGACAAGAGTTCAGTACAAAGGGTTCATAGAACCTCATGACAAGAGTTCAGTAGAAATAGTTCATAGAACCTCATGACAAGAGTTCAGTACAAAGGGTTCATAGAACCTCATGACAAGAGTTCAGTAGAAATAGTTCATAGAACCACATGGCAAGAGTTCAGTACAAAGGGTTCATAAAAACCTTTGACAAAGGTTCAGTAGAAATAGTTCATAGAACCTCATGACAAGAGTTCAGTACAAAGGGTTCAAAGAACCTCATGACAAGAGTTCAGTACAAAGGGTTCAAAGAACCTCATGACATGAGTTCAGTAGAAAGGGTTCATAAAAAACCTTTGATAAAGGTTCATTTCTCATCACGATAGCACAGAGAGACTATCTAGGGCAGGCGATACGGTAACAGAATTTTAAAGAACGATATCACGGTAACAGAGAGAATATTTTAGGCAGATCCTTCTATTAGTCATGCAATGTTTGTGTTGGACTTTCATTAATTGCAGACATAAAATTATTTGAAAATTATGTGAATTGTGCGGAACTTATATTGTTTTATTCCAACTGTTGATAATGAACACAGAAGAATGGTTAAGAAGATTTGTGCTGGAAAAAATTGGAGTTGACGCCACCATTAGCCAAATTAAGAAGAATGCAGGTAAAGTAACAATCTTATGCAAGGATCACTCAAACTTTCTAGTTCTAATAGAAGAACGGTACAGAAATCGATGATGGATCATACATTAAATAAAAATAATGTGTAATATTGATACACTTTCTTACATACAGCATGTGAAAAGAGCGTACTGAAACGTTCTTTTTTTCGAGCCAAATTAAGTTAGAATGACCCATACATGAGCAGAAAGATTTTATTGTTTGGACAAAAACTCACTCATTCCTCTGAGAGTGGTAAAGGTAAAAACCTAAGAAGAATAATGCTTAGCTCGATGTTAATGTGATAGGCTGGAGACACGGACGACACTTATGCAGAGTTAGGCGTGCAGATCGACAATGACGTTCATCGGAAGAGGACGTCATTTAAAACGTATTATCAACCTCTTTTTCTCTTAGATATGCTGGGCTTAAGAAATTAAAGATGTTAACCATCATGAGTTTTGCATCGAATATATGCAATTTATGCTACCCGTTTAACAATAAAGAGATACAGTTGTCATGTTATTATGATAATTATTAAGAACAATACTGAGAACCAGAATTTTGCATGAATCTAACTTGAGTGCTACTTTTAGTTATACGTGATTAAATGATTTCCGTGTCTAACATCGTAGCAACACACGATCAAGTACCTGAATGGAAGGCACATGTTTATTTTGTAATACCAAACGAATGGAATAGATTTACCAACCAAATTAATTCAGTTGAAGATTGAAGTACATGAAATTATAGTAATTAGGCGTAGTCACAAAACATTCATTGACTTTCAAGCATAATTCTGGACTTGCAGGATTGCTTCAACCATAACCTTACATTCGTAAAAATTGTAATGGGTGTGCTTCAGTGCGGAGGATTTTTTTTCATTTCTACTCATGCGCCGTTTCAACAATTATATCAACAACGCGCTTGAACATTCATATTTTTCTTCTTGATTGTTTGATCATAGAGGCACTCTATATAATGTTCCTAGCGAGTCACGAGCTGCACGAATATAGTGGTTAGTCAGCTGACAGGCGGTGGTTTAGTCAGATGGCGAGGCCAATGGCAAAGTTCTAGGAAATTGTTGAATAGCTTCATGGAATTCAATTTTATAATTTGAAGTTTATTGAAGCTTCACAGAGAAATAGGATTAACTGAAATTAAAGAACGACGAATTTCTTCGTTCAAATCTCGTCATTCCCTTGTCCAAACATCGTTTTTCACTCTCCTCTACCCTCGTGTTTCCCCTCGTCTCAATCTCTCACCCCTCGCCCTCCTCAATCTTTTATTCGTCATAACCTCTTTCCTTTGACTCTACCCTCATATTTCCCTCTCCTGACCTTTTTCCCTTCACTTTACCCTCATATTTCCCTCTCCTGACCTCTTTCCCTTTACCCTATCCTCATATTTCCCTCTCCTGACCTCTTGCCCTTCACCCTACCCTCACATTTCCCTCACCTGACCTCTTTCCCTTCACCCTACCCTCATATTTCCTTCTCCTGACCTCTTTCCCTTCACCCTACCCTCACATTTCCCTCTCCTGACCTCTTTCCCTTCACCCTACCCTCATATTTCCCTCTCCTGACCTCTTGCCCTTCACCCTACCCTCACATTTCCCTCTCCTGACCTCTTTCCCTTCACCCTACCCTCATATTTCCTTCTCCTGACCTCTTTCCCTTCACCCTACCCTCACATTTCCCTCTCCTGACCTCTTTCCCTTCACCCTACCCTCATATTTCCCTCTCCTGACCTCTTGCCCTTCACCCTACCCTCACATTTCCCTCTCCTGACCTCTTTCCCTGTCTCTTATACACATCTAGATGTGTATAAGAGACAGGTTTAAATCTGAACTTTATAGACGTTGTAAAGACAGAGGTATGGTGATATTTGAATAACTCTGTTATTAGGCGTAATTTAACAGAATATCCAGTTTGGAGAGATAGATATTTTTGTGTGAAGCTCCAAATATTTCATTCTAAAAACGTTAATTTGAACTTTTTTTTAGCAATGAAGGAAAAATCATCGATAGTTTGTGTGCAAATGACAGATGATTCTAGCCATTACAGTACAAAGCGCACAAAGACTAGCAACCATCAGCGCACAAAGACGCTCGAGCATTTGACTCACTTATTATTTGACTGAGTTATTAGCATATGACTCACTTACTATTATTCCACTCACTTATTGGCCTTTAAGTCACTAAATTAAAATTCCGACTTGCATGGACGTGTGAAGGGAAATGGGAGCACGGTCGTGAAACTCGGTCCCTCCCACTCAGCCCGGGACCATGAGGCCGCGAGGGATTTGGGTCATGGGAGGGTTGTCCCCATGGGGAGGGTCGTCTCCATATGGGGAAAGACGTCTCCATGGGGAGGGTCGTCCATATGGGGAAGATCATCCCTGCTTATCCCTAATCTCTCGTATAAATAGATGGCTTTAAGCGCTTTATATTCCTCAGTGTCGTCCCTCATTATCCGAGGGAAGCTTAGCAAGTTATTTTTGGCCAGTATGTAGCACATGAAGGTCTTCTCTAAACTTCTATTGTGTATATTCTGGATTTAAAGGAATTTTCTTATAGTTTATGGATAATTTTATTGTAATTTTTAAAGACAATTTCATTGCCTTTTTAATACTGTTCCAAAACACTGAATAACTTCCTATACTTTTGAAAAAAAAAAATCGAAAGTTATTCTCTCTGATGCTCATTCTTGAAAAAAAATCAAGAGTTATTCTCTCTGATGCTCATTCTTGATCAAAAAAGCCATCAAAAATGCCCTACTTCTAAAGTTCACGACAATCTCGCGGCCAAGTTGCTCAAGTTTCCGTCAAGTTCTCAGCGAGTCTCGCAGCGGAACTCATTCAAGTCCTCGTCGCTCTCTTGGAGACGTCGAAGTCTAAAAATAATCATCAGATCAATACACACCCAGAGAAATAAGTGAGACTGGTCTAGCTGGGACATGGGGCGGTCGCTCTGCCCGGGCACGATGGAGTTCATGTCGAAGGATTTGAAGTAGCGGAGAGCGTGGCTGAAATACAACACATATAGACAATATATATATTATCTATATATATAATATAACACACATAGACAATATACTGTCTACATATAACACATATAGATAATTTATAATGTATGCATCTCATTTTTCAATGGCTGAAATGAAAATAAACGTGAGAGTAATTGGTGATTCTGTAAAAAAGGTTCATTCATAATTGGATTTAAGCCATGTGTCAAACACATATCCGAGCCTGATCTCTGTAAAGGTATTGTAAGAAGGGGCCTGCAACCTTGCGATTACCAGTCACAACTAAACAACTGGCAGCGTCGTGGCAACTACTAGCAACGGATAACGTACTAGCAACGAGTATAATACCAGCAAATGTTAAATATGTTAACGCTTCAAAAACTATATCGACACGCAACTGACTCAGTACACGCACAAAAAGTACATAGTGCACCTGACACTGTATAGCTCGAGGAAACACTAGCTGTATAATATACAGTACGCAACATACAGTACACTATACAGCTGTCTCTTATACACATCTAGATGTGTATAAGAGACAGGAATGGTTACCGTATGAACCATTTAGTCAAGAAGAATGATTAGCGAAGTAAGAATTAAGTAGTTATATAAGAGCCCCCTATGTGTCTTTCGATCACTGCATAAACTAAAAAGGCTGGAATTGGTTTCGAAACGCAATAATAAAAAAAACGGATAAATGATGTGATTTAATTCAGATTAAGTTTTAATACAAAGTATAGGATGATTAGATACACCAGCCATTTTACGGACAGAGTTTCTCGTTGTATTCTCGAGTCATTTACCGCAGCCATTTTTTACAACAGTGCAGTAANATCCATGTGCGAAGATTACTGAACTCCTCAAAAGTCTTCTCATTGCCGTTAACTTTTCAGAATTGATAGCCATACAGGTTTTTTATTTTCTCCCGGTGACTAAATGTTATAAATTCTAAAAATGAACTCTGATATCCAACAGAGGACATCAGCGTAATACTTATCACCTGTCTCTTATACACATCTAGATGTGTATAAGAGACAGGTATTACCTTTGGTGGGAGGTAATTAACAGGTATTACCTTTGGTGGGAGGTAATCAACAGGTATTTACCTTTGGTGGGAGGTAATTAACAGGTATTACCTTTGGTGGGAGGTAATCAACAGGTATTTACCTTTGGTGGGAGGTAATCAACAGGTATTCTGGCGGTGGCGCTCCAGCGGTCCTGCGTGATGTTGGTGGTAACGTCCAGTGGCAGGGAGTGACGCCGCTGGTCATATAAATCATTTTGTGTCCACAGCAGCAGCACCCAGTGCTGTCCGTACCTATCCATACGTATTGCTTTACTAATGATAAAATCATAAAATAAACTTACGTCATTCAACTTGGAAAACTAAGAAAGAAAATGTTCTTTAAAGAAAAGTTATTCGCTGTCTTTTGTACCCTTTTGTACCTTAACGCACGCAATGCTTTACAAATGCTAGGCTAATATCATCAAATTGCTTCATTTATAAGAGGAGCGAATTTGCGTTTAAGAAACAGTTCGCGAACTGCCCCGTACCCAAGCGTAAGCAATGCTTTTCAGGTTCCAGAATTATCGCTCACAACATTAAACTCAGCTACTCTTTCCCTTCAAGAAGGAAAACAATGTGTGGGCTTATATAACTTTATGTGAGCTGCCACGTGGCTGAGCGCAAACACATGCTAGATATTTAAATACAGTTCTATAATATCGTAGAAACAACTCATTGAATTATTGCCTGGAATCCTTCAAAATATATGACCACGTGAATAGTACTGCTACGCTGACACGCCGAAAGCATAGTGCAGGCCGGGCAATTTTGTCAGTCTGGCAAGTGAAAATATTCTAGCATATCAATATGACATTTTAAATCAAAGATTTCGTGGATTTAATAGCGATAAAACATTCATTGAAATTTTTAATCAATCACTCAAGTATACTTGATCAGTGATGGAAACTTACGGACCAACTTCGACCTCAACATACTGGTTGTCGGCGTTCAGGAAATAAACCTCCACCACTGCCCGATATGAAAAAAAAAATTTATCCTTCCCGGAGGACTATCTTAGTAGTATTTGATGTATAAGCCTATTTTGCTAATAGTGTCAACTTAATAGTACATTCTGATTCGATTCAACCTTGCTCGTCTCATACGTTTTCTTTGCTTTTAAATTCTTGTTGATCATAATTGAAAGAATGATAAAATAATAATAATAATAACTAAACAAAGAAAATAAATAAATGGATACATTACATTACATTGGGATGACATTACCGGTGAGAGCTGCTAAATTGCATTCTTCATTTAATTTCATCAATAGTATTTATGATAAAATAATAATAATAATAACTAAACAAGGATAATAAATAAATAGATACATTACATTACGATAGTCTCTCACCCTCATACTTGTATAGGTCAGGTAGTTGAAGATTGAAGTACATGAAATTATAGTAATTAGGCGTAGTCACAAAACATTCATTGACTTTCAAGCACAACCCAGGACATTGGAGCGCTGGTTGCAAACTGGACTTGCCGAACTGCTTCTACCATTCCCTTGCATTTGTAAAAATTGTAATAGGTTGCAAGGTTGGTACCTTTACAATTTTGCCGAGGATTAGCCGGTACCATTTTCAATGGCGAAGATTTTTTATTTACATTTCTATTCAAGCTCCGTTTCAACAATTATATCAGCAACGCGCTTGAACATTCGTCTTTTTCTTCTTGATCGTTTGATCATAGAGGCACTCTATATAATGTTCTATATAATGTTATATATATTGTTCTATATAATGTTGTATGGAATATATAATGAACATTATATATTCTATATAATGTTCTTAGCGATTCACGAACTGCACGGATATAGTGGTTCATCAGCTGGCAGGCGGTGGTTCATCAGCTGACAGGCGGTGGTTCATCAGCAGGCAGGCGGTGGTTCATCAGCAGGCAGGCGGTGGTTCATCAGCAGACAGATGTAGTCAGATGGCAAGGCAATGGCACCGTTATAAGAAAATTTTGCACAGCTTCATTTAATTAATTTTTGTAATTTGAAGTTCATTGGAACTTTTCAGAGAATTAGAATTGACTAAAGTTAAACGACGAATTCTTTCGTCCAAACATCGTTTTTCACTCTCCTCTACTCTCGTGTTCCCCTCGTCTCAATCTCTCACCCCTCGCCCTCCCCAATCTTTTATTCGTCATAACCTCTTTCTTTTGACTCTACCCTCATATTTCCTTCTTCTGACCTCTTTCCCTTCACCCTACTCTCATATATCCCTCTCACGACTTCTTTCATTTACCCTACCCTCATATTTCCCTCTCCTGACTTCTTTCCCTTCACCCTACTCTCATATTTCCCTCATTTCCCTTCATATTTCATTTCCCTCTCTCATATTTCCCTTCACCCTACCCTCATATATCCCTCTTCCTAACATACTATCTTCCTGACCCATCCCGCATCTTTTCCTCGTCCCATCCTGTTACCCTCACTTTCCGGCCTCCCCAGCCAGTGGGGTTCCGCCAGCGCCGCCTCAGCCTCATTCAGCCTCAGCCTCTTAAAGCCGCGCTGCCCTTACTTCCCTTTCCCTCACCCCCCGCCTCACTCCAGCCCTTACTTCCACTTCCCTCACTCCAGCTGATCACTTCTACTAACCGCAGTTAAAGGGGAAACTGTTACTCTTTAGTTCATATATCTATTTCCAATCTGGCTTAGGAATAAATGTTGCTATTTGACTTTGTTTTGAGTTCTGTGTAGATCTGCCAAATTTAGTTATTATTGCACGTCAGGCTTCTTCTGTATTTTCACTGTACTGTTGTATTTTTACATTATTTATTTTTTCACGATGTTAACAAAATAATGTTCTCTGCTGAATACATTTTTGATATAAATAATATTGTGAAGCAAGATTAGTTTAGTCGGAAGTTTCTCACATTTGAGAATTTGTTCTTTTGTTATGTGTGAGTTTCAAGGTGAAACTTTTGTTTGTTTTATTTTTTGTGTACAATTCAGTAATTGTATTGAAATACATATAATCAGGAGTCTTTTATTATTTTAATCAAGGGTGTTCCTTAGAAGTGATCAAAATCTAGTATAAGGGCCAAAATAAATGTTTCTGAAATTTAACCTTTGAATTGTTGTGAAATAATTTTGTTCGCGTTTAATTTGCATAATGAAAATTTGCTGTTAACGAATATAATTAAGACGGATTGATGAAAATACATTATCAAGATACTCCCAGGGTAACTTTTTATAGCAAATACGCCATTGAAATGCTTCTAAAACGTAGCTCTTGCATCGCCAGACTCCAGTCACCCTGCGGCGCTAGCGAAGAGAGGTGTGCAGTTTTTCTTGCTAAAATCCGTTCATCGTTATGAAGCGAAATGAATATAAGTTAGTTGGTTTTCCGTCTTTTAGTGTGATCATGTTGACATTATTATCTCGAATTTAAATCTAGATTGATGGTTTTATGAAATTTTGGGAAGTGTGTAACTTTCAAAGTGTATTTCTTTGTTTAAAATTTTCCTTATGAGTAACAGAATCGTAATTTTTTTTATTTTTTTACATTGATTTGCTAAGCCCCTGTTGAATTTCCGTGCAATGCCTTTATCTCTGGTATCTGAGAGCTAGAATTTATCAAGGAGTTCGTTATTTCAGATTAAATATCAACAATATTCTAAATATTAAACCGTTTTTTCAATTGAAAAACACTATGCTTATAAAATATTTATACCAAGCAGTGCTAATTTTTCTTATAAAGCTGCGACGCTTATTAATTTATTTTAAATAAGTCCATGTCTTACTCGGCCTTCTTATTCTCTCTTACAAATCTAAAAATGACAAATTTGCCCAAAATTCTCCTTTTTGCGGAACAATAACAGCGTTTAATTGCACTACACCAATTTAAACTCCTTTCCGGTCTTCTTAGAAGATTGTTCGTCCAATTATTACATAATTTATGCTGTGCAGATATATTTTAAATTATAGGTATACTTAATTAATTAATTCTAGCTATACTTAATTTGTTCTTTGCAGAAATTATTAATTTTAGGTATAACTAATCAATTCTAGGTACACATAATTTTTTCTTTGCAGAAACTATTCAATCTAACTGTTATTTTATTCGTCATAAATTCGCTGCCATTTTTCACTGTAGTTTTGCCGGGTGAGTTACAATTTTGGCTATGTTTAAATCTGAACTTTATAGACGTTGTAAAGACAGAGGTATTAAAAACTGAAAAATATTGCGAAGTCAATTCCTTTGACATGTAAATAAATTTACCTGTTCTAAATATTCTTTAATCAGGCTTTAAATCACAGCCCTTTGGCCAAAAAGTTAATTTCTTTCATTTGCGAAATTCGATAACTCACATTTAGAAGAACCTTAGGTTTTAGATGTGTATAAGCGAAGGGACTAGCAACCACCAGCGCACAAAGACGCTCGAGCATTTGACTCACTTATTACCATTTGACTCACTTATTATTTGACTGAGTTATTAGCATTTGACTCATATACTAGCAATTGACTCATTCGACTCACTTATTACCAGTTGACTCACTTATTATTTGACTCAGTTATTACCAGTTGACTCACTTATTATTTGACTCAGTTATTACTATTTGACTGACTTATTATTTGACTCAGCTATTACCATTTGACTCACTTATTATTTGACTTAGTTATTAGCATTTGACTCACTTACTATCATTCCACTCACTTATTCGCCTTTAACTCACTTATTATTTGACTCAACGTTTACCCTTTGACTCACTTATTATTTGACTTAGTTATTACCATTTGACTCACTTATTATTTGACTTAGTTATTACCATTTGACTCACTTATTATTTGACTCAGTTATTATCATTTGACTCACTTATTATTTGACTCAGTTATTACCATTTGACTCACTTATTATTTGACTCAGTTATTACCATTTGACTCACTTATTATTTGACTCAGTACTTACCATTTGACTCACCTACTTGCAATTGACTCATTCGACACACTTATTAGCATTAGACGCTCATCATTATGAAATTGCTGGGAAGCTGTGTTCTGTCGTGAGATTCTGACGTCACGATGAGAAGTTGACAATCGTACGTTCTGTTATACATTAACAGGATACAGACAATAATTATAATCCTGTTATACATTATATATATTATAGTACATTAATAATTAATTTTCATAGTAATTTCCAAATTAGCATGGGCAATAACTTGTCATAATGGAATAATATGCCTTTTTGAAATGACTCATTTTCATCGCTTCTACTGAGAAAATTCCGACTTGCATGGACGTGTGAAGGGAAATGGGAGCACGGTCGTGAAACTCGGTCCCTCCCACTCAGCCCGGGACCTTGAGGCCACGAGGGATTTGGGTCATGGGAGGGTTGTCCCCATGGGGAGGGTCGTCTCCATATGGGGAAGGACGTCTCCATGGGGAGGGTCGTCCATATGGGGAAGATCATCCCTGCTTAGCCCTAATCTCCCGTATAAATAGATGGCTTTAAGCGCTCTATATCCCTCTGTGTCGTCCCTCATTATCCGAGGGAAGATTAGCAAGTTATTGTTGGCCAGTATGTAGCACATGAAGATATTAGGAAATCAATTTATGTTGAATTATTCAAATCAGTTTAATCAAATCAATATACGCAAATCAGTTTAATCAGGTTAAATCAGGTTAAATCAGGTTAAATCAGGTTAAATCACGCTGAATAAGGTTAAATAAGGTTAAATCAGGTTAAATCAGGTTAAATAAATTTAAGGACGTACCACTGACAGGCTGCAGTTTATGGCTCGCAGCCTCCTATCCGCAAAATGTTGCCACCATAAGCTAATTGTTGCGTCCAACTGATCGAGGCCGTCGAAAAATATTTTAACTGTGAATACGTGACATTTATCATTCATTTTTGGAGAGAAATTGTTTCTTTAAACTTTACTGTTTATATTCTGGAATTTAAGTAGAATTTTTCTAGTTAAAGGATAATTTATTGTAATTTTTAAAAACAATTTCATTGTCTTTTTTATACTGTTCGAAAACACTGAATAACTTTCTGTTCTTTTGAAAAAAAAATCGAAACATATTTTCTCTGAAGTTCGCTCTTGTTCGAAAAAGCCATCAAAAATCCCCTACTTCTGAAGTTCACGACAATCTCGCGGGCAAGTTGTTCAAGTTTCCGTCAAGTTCCCTGCAAGCCTCGCAGCCGAACTCATTCAAGTCCTCGTCGCTCTCTTGGAGACGTCGAAGTCTAAAAATAATCATCAGATCAATACACACCCAGAGAAATAAGTGAGACTTGTCCAGATAGCGACACACTTTTCGACCTTGTGTCGGTTATTCTGACACAGTTTGACCCGGCATAAGGGTGTATCAGTGATACTTGCAGGAAGTGTGTCACTATTTCGACAATACGACCCTTGCATTTTCGTGAGTGAATAGACGCACGTCAGAACCTTGTGCACTCGATCAACGATGTCGTCAACGTCAACATCGGCAATAATAATAAAAGTATTAATATAAGTCACTATTAGAAGCGAGGCCGTTACAGAGAAGTTAGAACTGCACTTTCCCGATTTATCTGACAATTTGATGTCTCCTCCGCTGGATAGAAAATTAATATGTTCGTAACTCTGCTTGATGGAACTGATATGGTGTCCATATTTTTCTTAATAAAGTTGGCAGCCTTTCTTCGTTTGATATTTATTAGTGTTGGATGAGTTCTTCACTAAGTCACATGTCTTCATTTACGCAGTTATTATCGGTTTTCTTACCCTCCTATCATCTCCACGCTGTCACAAATTTCGCCGTTGAACGTATATTGTGTACATATTGCTTTACCGATGAACGCATTTTATGTTAAACTACAACTGAATTTGCTTCCATATGTTTTATTAACTTTTCATTGTTCATTGCAGGTTCATCCCAAATAATGCTACTACTTTTCAATAATGCTAAGAGTAAAACGTTTTTAATCGTATAAGGGATGGTTCCAATGCACATTTAGCATGGAATTCTTATTTACCCTATTGTTTGAAATCCGCAGGATGCTATTTTTGTATTTGTAATTCAATTGTGAATAATTACCATATATATATTTATGGTGATGGTTTCGAAAAGAAATGGTGATGGGCTCAGAAAAAATTCCCACACACAAACTTTCTTGAAATGTTTTTCGCTCAAACCAAACTTAAACGCAAATAGCTTATGTAACAAATCTTTTGGTATATGTAACCAACATATATGGAATTTGGGTAATAAATTCTTAAATTTACGTGCGTAGATAATTTGAAACTTCATGAAATATCTCACACTAAGCCAAAAACTTCTCTCATTCTATATGGCTCATCGGAAAGTCTACGGTTATTGAAACCAGCATTCAATTTACTCGTGAATATGGAATTTGAGAGAATGTCATGTAATTTGAAAAACTGAAAAATATTGCGAAGTCAATTCCTTTAACATGCAAATAAATTTACCTGCTCTAAATATTCTTTAATCAGGCTTTTAATCACAGCCCTTTGGCCAAAAAGTTAATTTCTTTCATTTACGAAATTCGATAACTCACATTTAGAAGAACCTAAGGTTTTTGTCAGCTCCACAAATACCTTAATACGGATTTTGATAATTAAAAAAATTGTGTTATTAATCGTTAATAATATTTCTGTTACTATTTATAACGTTAATTCTATAAAGTTAATGCGGAACCTTACTCTAAATTGAAGGATACAACACAATATATGCTAAATGATCTCCATAGTGGTGGCCTGCTGTCCTAGTTTCATTTTTTGCACAAGGTATATGTAACCAACATATATACAGTTTATATCATTATATCTTACGACAGTTTATATCATTGAATAAATATAATTTAGATTTGTACATCTTAAAAATTACTTTGAATTATGATGATTCTTTGTACAAATAATGCTGATGCAATCAATTTTTTGACTTGAAGGTTGTTTAAACGCAGAAACAGTGTAAAAACATCGTATTGAAGTAGCAGAATAGATATTTAAAGTTTAAGGCTTATTTTGGAAACACTTTGCCTGTTTCTTTGTCCAGAAAAATAGGACTGTAAAGTAAATGGTGAAGATTTTCCATGCAGAATAAATTTCCGCTTTTTCAGTTCCGCTGTTTCCTGCGGTCTGGATTTGTCTCTCTGTTTATCTTGCTTGGATCTTAACGTGGTCACGGACAGACGGACAGGCAGACGGACAGACAGACGGACGGACATGGATAAAAGCTTCACTGGAAAATTTTCCACTAGAGCCGTTGAGGTGCAAGCACACATTTTTTGACTCGTAAACAAAGTTTAGTTAACATATTTCCATTCAATGCACGAATGAAATGTGATGCTTATTTCAATTTCAATGTAATTTTAAAATTTTTTTGGTATATCAATAATTTTATTTCAAAGGCTGTTTATCAACATAAATTAATCAGAGCTCACTCTAGAAATCGAATTTTCAGCTAACTTTTTCGTCTCGAAAACATCACGCAGTCATGAAAAAATGATTAATTTCTCTGAAAATATTTAAAGTGAATTTCTACCATCTTAGGTTTTCAATAAATCTAGTTTACTATCCCATTTAGAAATGAAATTGTACTGACAAAAGTCAGTATCCACTGGCGCACGAACCTTCCAATATCCATCGATCAAATCCGTGATACCAGAATATCCTCCTTAGATCCAGGATTTACGAGCCATGAAGCACTCAGCAGTAAATTGGAAGCGGACGTCGTACTAAAGAGATTTACGTCTTCCATAAGGCCCTTAAAAAACGTTAGAGACGTCACGTCAAATGATGTCGCTGACAAATATGGCGTAAATGGATCGGTTATGTGGTGGGGGACTCGCTTATATTGGAGAAAATATCATGTTTAAGAGTCCATTCATTTCCATTTTCTGCAAGGGTTCAATCACATTTTGGATCAGTTGGACGATTTTTAACATTTATACACTTATCAAATGACGTGTAAATTTAGCTTTATGATTCATATCATGATCGAATATGTCATGCTTTATTGCCTTTATTAGTTGTTTATTTAAGTAATCAACTCAAGCTTGGCTGTAATAGGGAAAAATAGCTTTTATGATCTGAAATTTCCGACAGTACAGTATTTCTGCTGGTACAGCTGAGAGCTGATCTCTGAATGTTCTGTGAAATTTGAAAAAATCAAAATGGCCTGATTACCTAGGAGCATGCACGCAGTGATTGATGATCTTAGATCCATGGTTTATCAATGGTTCTGGATTCATGTTGATATAATTAAAGCACCTATTTAATTTCAACAATCAAATGAAACCTGATACTTTTTTTTTCTAGGAAGGAACATGTCTTTGGGTGGAATAATGTCACCTTCAAACACAAGCAACTCTCTTCGTGGTTTTCCTTCTTGTCAAAATTGCACATCGACTCCCTCTTCAGAGTCCCGGCCTCTTCATCCCATCCTGCCTACCAGCGACGTTACTGATACCCTCTTCGTCCATCCTTACCGACAGGAAGAACTCAGACATTACCAGCAAAGTTCACTGGACTCAAACGACTATCCTGGCAACATTTGGCTGCCTCGAGCATCGCAGGACGAGACTGCGTTACAACTTGACAGCGAGCAAACCAGTCGCAATGAGAACACGCAACCGTCGCTGGTCATTTCCAGCTGCATTTCAAGGGAGGGATCACCTGTTTTTTCTTGCCCAAGTCCCATCACCGCGCCTTCCTTACCAACACCGTCTCCGACTCGATATCTATCAGTTTCGCCTTCAGCTACATCGCTCAGTAGTTCACGGCAGAGCATTTTTTTACCGACTGGTGTAGTACGATCTGCTTCAGCGTACACGTACCCTACTCTACATCTCCCAATCCCGCCGCGATCTCCTGGATTATCGCCAGTAACCAGAGTATCTTTTTCCACGGACCCTGGCAGCAGCTTCGGATCTTCTGTATCCACGCCATACGGCGGTTCACAAGCGGCAGACGAAGTTGGCAGTGCTTTTACATCCAGCGAGGTGCGCGTGGATCTCACGAACCAAAACGCCCACTACGGAGAACCCTTTCTTCGGCAGACGGGAGCTTCAGGAGAACCCTTTCTTCGGCAGGCGGGAGCTTCAGGCGAACCCTATCGACTGCAGGCGGGAGCTTCAGGCCTTCTGGTCTCACTGACCAGCTTGACCCAGGTGCCCGCACCACCGGTGTACTCGCCGCCGCCATCTTACGATCAGGTAAAAATATTAATATTATTTTTTATACCACAGATAATTTGTATAACATCACGGAATTATTCACATAAATCTGAGAGTAAACTACCATCGACAGCTAATAATTCATATGCAGAATTATTCTGCTACATTTTCTTCGTTACTCAATCTGGACTATGAACAATTTTAGGCCCAAGTTTATTTAGCGGAGAATATATCCAAGAAAATTTGACAAGTTTAACAAAAATATATCATGTTTATTCTTATTTAATTATCTTAATAAAAACATGTCACAAAATGCTATGATAAACATAATCCAAACCAATATTGTTATCGGTATCATCGCTCCCTAAATTTTTTGTACTTATGACCCAATAATTTTTCTGCTTGCACAGCTGTGTGATCCTAACGCCCTCCCGACGTACGACGAGGCGACACGTCACAGCTCAGGGGGGAAGAGACGAGGGGGCGACGTGTTCACCCTGCCCCCCGTACCCCCGGGGGCTTCGCCCCCTCCTCACCCCGACACACACGCCCCCCTTGCACCCATCACACCGAGTCAACTTATACAGGTTCACTCAGACAAATAAATGAGACAGCGTCAAAATAGCGACACACTTGTGTCGTAGTATGTTGATTAACTTCACTATATAAGGCTAGAAAAAATACTTCCGTCGAAATTTTCATTTTCAAGTTTGTTCTAGAGATATTGAGCGGTTTGAGCTTATTAATTACAGAAATTTAACAGGTTGCCGATATCAAAATTATTGAATTGTTGAAATATCTAAATCTGCGCTTATAAGCGTTCATTCAGGAAGAAATTGAGTTGGCTTCGAATATAACAATAAATCACATTCACTAGGCCATAATTAATGTTTTTTTCAAAATATTGATCAATTTAAAAGTGGAAATTAATCAAGTGGAGTAATATATAATTATTTATATTTTTATCAATCTACGTAATAGTAGGAATAAACTTAAGCGTTTATAACTTATCATACATTTTTAACTTTAACTTAAAATACATTTTATCTTTATAATCGCGAGAATAAATGAAGAGTTGAGCTACAGAGTTTGTTATGATTCAGCTGGACGGCGACGAGACGAGAGGAAGAGACCGGTTGGCGTCACTTGTCGAAGACTTGGCGAACTCTGAGGGCGGCTACTCCACCATCCTGGACGCCATCCCACACGAGCCTGCCCTCCACACTGCCCCTCCCGTCCCCGTCAGGTCTGAACCTGAGGGTGAACCTGTTTTAAATGAACCCAAGGGTGAAGCTGAGTTAAATGAACCCAAGGGTGAAGCTGAGTTAAATGAACCCAAGGGTGAATCTGTGTTAAATGAACCCAAGGGTGAAGCNCTGTCTCTTATACACATCTAGATGTGTATAAGAGACAGGGGTGAAGCTGTGTTAAATGAACCCAAGGGTGAACCCATGCTAAATGAATTCATGTTTAAATAAACCCGCGCAAAATTAACCTCGTTTATCGATAAGACAAGCTTTGCTAAAGACACTGTAACGATTTATTCAATACTCACAGTTTCTATGGCAAAAACAAGATAGGAAATTGCTGCACTCTCATGTTGAAGACGATAAATTCTTAAATTAGAATCATTAAACATTGTTCTCTATAAGAAGAGCACCGTCATTGCTATTGCCTACAGTATAGTGACAGTATAGTGATTATTATTATTATTATTATTGCCAGGAATTTAAAAGTAAAGAAAATAGCCAAAAAGTTCACCATTTCTTATAAGCGAAAACGTTTCGGAGTCCAGCTCCATCGTCAGTCAGTTCAAAACAGTTCGGTGTTTCTGACCTACGAATTTTAAAATCTTTATATATTTTCAAACAGAAACCCAGTTTAAATGCTGCATTCAGTTCCTATCCTCTAGAAATTGTAAATAGATAGTACCCTCTCTACATGTCTGTGTTAAATGAACCCAAGGGTGAATCTGTGTTAAATGAACCAAAGGGTGAAGCTGCGTTAAATGAACCCAAGGGTGAATCTGCGTTAAATGAACCCAAGGGTAAACCTGCGTTAAATGAACCCAAGGGTAAACCTGCGTTAAATGAAGCAAAGGGTGAAGCTGCGTTAAATGAACCCAAGGGTGAACCTGTGTTGAATGAACCCAAGGGTGAAGCTGCGTTAAATGAGCCCAAGGGTGAAGCTGCGTTAAATGAACCCAAGGGTGAACCCATGCTAAATGAATCCATGTTTAAATGAACTAGCGCAAAATTGACCTCGTTCATCGATAAGACAAGCTTTGCTAAAGACACTGTAACGATTTATTCAATACTCACAGTTTCTATGGCAAAAACAAGATAGGAAATTGCTGCACTCTCATGTTGAAGACGATAAATTCTTAAATTAGAATCATTAAACATTGTTCTCTATAAGAAGAGCACCGTCATTGCTATTGCCTACAGTATAGTGACAGTATAGTGATTATTATTATTATTATTATTATTATTATTATTATTATTGTTATCATTATTAATATCATTGCACAGGTTCGTGGCGAGATGTTCGCTGGAGAGACTCAGGCCTCCTGAGGTGCGGCTGCCGTGTCTGCTCACGTCAGCGTGCAACAAGGAGCTTGTTAGGCAGGTCTGGTCACATTAATTATGGTGGAATATGTTTCAAACAATGTACAAATATTATATCTAATTATTGGTAGTGCTACACGATTGCCATGAATAAATTGGTAACTGTGAGTTTTTTCGGTGAGATAAATTGAAGATAACAGTGAACAGGATTTCAACTGGAGAAAATATCCTGTTGAAAAATGATCAAGGACTTTGCTCGGAAGTTATTGAAAAATGTTTATAATGAATAATAATGATTGATAATACTTTCTGGGACGCATCATGCTAACACCTTTCAAAATTAATTGATTTTTTGATATCGTTGATTATTTCATGTTACGCTTCCACGTTTCGGTTCTTTCCTAAACTAAGATGAAATTTAATTCCTAGTCATTTAATTCATTGCCCCTGTGAAATTATTCGTTTTACTGCAGGAACTCAACCGACGTTGGCCTTTCATCGTGAGTGCCCAAGAAGACGACCGATGCCCAGGCCTTATTTTGGTTGAATGTTCGTCGAACCTGACGATAGCGCGACTTCCAGACGCAGAATATCGTCTCAATTCACCGCTGGAGACCATCGATTCCAGTCAATACAGAGACATGGCTACTAGAATCAATGTTGACGGAAGAAGTCCGTCACGAGATGGCAGGTTTATTTTCCCAAGTGTTAACGAAATGCATTTAGGGGAAGAAAGAAGATTTTCAACCGGCACTCGACGATCGTCAAACGAGCGGCCCGGATCACAGTCGTCTGAGCGAAGGTCCTCTACCGGCGGTCCGCTTGTTTTGGACGTTAGCAGAAGAACATCGGTGGATGGCAGACGATTCTCAGAAGAGAGGACGAATGCCGATGAGCTTGGAAGCGTTAATTCTCCGCTTTTGTTGGAACACACGAGAGCTCACAATGCCGACCCTACTGCACACAGTCTATGGAGATTTCGATTGAGAAGTAATTCGAGTGAACAGGATGCGTCAAGTGAAGGGATCCCTCATCTTCAACGCGACATAAGCGATGTCACCACAGCAGATTCCATCAATTGCGAAACTGAAGATTATTTTAGATCTTCAACTGCCAGAACAGCAACGACCAGCGTAACGTGGCAGGATGAATGCAATAACCGAATGAACTTATCCTCTCTTCTGACATACCACGACAATCTTCATCGCAGCTCCCTCGATGAATCTTTTGCAGAAGATCCAGCTCAACCCGGTGCCTTCAGCTTCTCTTCAGCCAGTTTCAGAAATCAAAGACCAAGTCTGGCGATGACACATTTTAACAGTAATGCTTCAAGCAGAAGAAACATAAATGTTGATGCAAGCGATGAAACAATCCAAAATAGCCCTGACATAACATCTTTAAGCAACGCTGTACCGACGACAGACAACGCAGTCGACAACAATCTCGGCACGATCTCGACTGAAAATCTAACTACTTACCACAACGTACCAAGTTCCTCAGGTCCATCGAACTGTGTTAGGCCACAAAACCCTGCAGTATCCAGAGGTTCTGCCAATCGTCCCATAATTACTTGCTCACGCAGCAACCCTTTCGCTCACCTCTCTACCACCATCATGGGATCAGTACCTAGTGGGGTAATAGCTGGCGGACTTGCAGGGAGTCTTGCAGGCCTTGGAGTTCTCGACACTTCAGACTTGAACAACCACGTGCTCTTTTACCTGTGCGGTCGATGCGTGTCTTTCGATTCTTTCGATGCAGATTCAGTGAAGGTTCATCTCGACCTAGAGTGTCCAGGCATGCGTGGAAAGTGGGCACGAACGTCTGAACTTTACTTAGCGCTGCGAGCTGCATTTCTCGTGGCTTTGGTGCTTATCGCGTTTCCATATTTCATAATTAACAGCATTTAAAAGATCACATTTCAGACTAGTATTGTGGTTTGATTAATATATTAAGTTTTCGGAGGGACTTCGTCTATCAAAAATGTTATGGCTAACTTTGAAAATATTTGATGACTCGTTTCGAACATTTTGTGACAAACATTGACTGATCGTTCTTACTTGAAACGCAAAAATTAAAAAAAATGTATTCACGTTTGTATTAATAACGTTTCCAAAGAAATTTTTGAATCATTAGCCTGAAGTTGTCTGTGATAATTCAAGTACTAATGAAAATATTTCAAAAAGTCAGGGTTTCACACTGCGTCGTTTCAATTTTCAATCCCTTTCACTCCTTTCGACAAGCCAAACGTAAATTTGTCAAATATATGCCAAAAATTAACTTTTGTACAATGCATGTGTGACCGGAGTGACTGAGTGAAACATTCTAGAGCTTCCTTGATAAAATTGCGTGGTGCATTTCTATGTGCTGTTTCTACGTGACTCTGTATCAAATGACAAATATCAAATCCTTTTGGATTGCTATCATAACTAATAATATCTGTTTTGGAACGAAATACATTTGTATTTCATTCGTATAAAATTCAACATTAACGTTACTTCTTATTCTATAGTTTATTTAATTTTAATTTTATCTTTACTCGAATCGCCCGGACTTGCAGCTGAGGAGCAATATGTTCCCAGCGATATGGATAACGATCTTAGAGAAATATTAATTAGCTCTAACACTTAGATATTTGTTTTAACACTTATTTAACACTTGTTTTAACACTTAGATACTTGTTTTAACACTTATTTAACACTTGTTTTAACACTTATTTAACACTTGTTTTAACACTTATTTAACACTTGTTTTAACACTTATTTAACACTTGTTTTAACACTTAGATACTTGTTTTAACACTTAGATACTTGTATTTACCTCAACCTATTTTCCACAAACAAATACGAATATTTAAGTAAGTTTGAAGCTCAGTTTTTATTTTTATTTTTATTCACTTTTCATACACCAAAATCGACGCAAAGAGTAAAATTTTATGTGGGAATTTTATTATTGTAATGGACCCTAACACGAATTCGAGGAACTATAACTCGAAAAAATTTTTCATCGTGCTGCTCGGATATTCAGCCTAGTATTATAAGCAAATACTGAAAAAATATAAGAATTTTCCGATTTATTTAGCTAGTTTATTTTCCAACCAATCGATCCATTTCTGCGTTTAACTTCATGTGGGAAATTTTTATAACTCAAGCACTTGAAACTTTTAATAATACTATAAAAATGCTTTTCCATATGAATACATTTTTCAGTAATTTGGTGTCATCCACTAGATTTTCGCATGAATTTACCGTTGCTACAGAGCATGATACCATGTGCATCCTTTTAATAATACGTAACTACCCAGTGAAAATTTACAGACGCGGCAGCTTTAACTGATTTGGGTTACCAGAAGCTGGGCGACTCTAAATTTTGTTAGGGTACGTGTTGTACATCGCTTTCTTTTAAATGTGTACCTAATTGAGAGAGGGGAGAAGTGATTAATAAACTGGGCATTGGAAATTATTCATAATAGTTTTATAACGAATTAATGGATTTATATGAAAAATCAATGAGGATAGGCATCTAAATAATTAGAATAATAGAACTAATTATTTCGAGCTGTTTAGCTCGTGCTCTTGTAACCTTATGAACGTCGTTACAAATTAACATGAATGGTTCAATTAGACGTGGTGTGATTAGTTTTTCGTAGCTTTGATACCGACGGATCGATGCAGTGTTACCTAATAAAATAATTTATTTTAATCATTCTAGTACAATAATTAATTCTCTATTGCATATTTTTAAAGCCAATTCATGGCTGTCAATCAATAATGGCTGAGCTAGAACTTGTTGACACCCCTTTTTAATTGCCGTTTTTCAGTTGAACTAATAGTACATTCTTTTCGGTGCCCTGGGGCCATCCTATTAAAAATCTATAAAGTACGCGTAGCGGCCTATTTCCTTCAAGTGGTTGGTGGATTTACTTTGAAAAGTCTTTAGTGATTGTCAGTGATTGGATTGAAAACTCGTAACTATCTTTGATACTATGGCTCCGGCACACTAGTCCATGTACTCGTAGCAATGCCGAATTTGAGATAGCAATGTTACGGGATTTGGTAGACGTTATATCTTGGTTAATCCGAAACCTCGATGCTGTTTTGGTGCTAAGACAGAATATTGGTTTGCGTTAGTATATTGTTCATATAATAATATTATATTAACAAATGGTTAGCTTAGTTGTGATTGCAGTCACATAGTCGTGATGGTTTTGTGTGATACTTAATGACGTAGAGGTTCGATGTTCCGAACTTATTAGCAAAGCATCCTGATGAATACAATTCATACTACCATGTCTAGGCATTTTTAGAATCTGAAATAATGTGTATACCATTTCACATCAAACGTTAATGTGCAAACATTAAAATGTAAACAGAGTTGTTGGTAATATGCATGAACAAAATTGCTATTACAAAAACCAACTGGAACTGCCGCTCATGTCAACCACATATTACATCACTATCGGCTCAAGACCAGTGATTATATATAAACTATATGATTCCATATAGTTATATTCACTAAAACTATAATTCCTAGAATTTTTCAGTTGTTACATTACATTGAGAAAAAGCTACAACTCAGAAAAAATCTCTTTCAGAAATACATACTTCTAAGTCTAGGTTGTCGGGATAATCCCATTCATTCAATAGGTAACTTTGTACATTTTTAACTGCTGCTCATGGCATGAAACTCTAAAATAAGTTAAGTACACACTTTGTTCTGTTTAGCGTGTAAACTTAAGGGTATAAAGTAGCAGTATTATGTGTATTTTTGCTCTGTTTCTATGTTTCTTACCGAATATTTTATTGCTGTTTAATATATACTTTTTCATATTTCATTTGAAAAGATTTTTTTTCATAATATTTATTTATTATATGTATTTTATAATCGCACTTTTTCCGCATCAAGAACATTGACTCTTCGTTGAGGTTTTATAACATTTTTAGCAAATATTCTGTTATCTAATTATTTATTATGCCGAATTAATGCGAATCTAAATAAGGTTAAAGAGTAATTAATTAAAGAGTAATTAATTAGTAATTAATCTGCGCTAGGTTAAAGAGTAATTAATCTGCGAGTGGATAAGCAGTTAAGTAAAATTAAGTAGCAGAACAATTGCATAAATGTGACTTATAAATAAAACAGGATTTGCTAGCTAACTATTCAATTGGATGCGCATTCAGAGCAACACGTTAAAGTTTCTGCAGGTTTTACGTATGCTTAAATTATTTTAATTTTAAGTTATTGATTATTGCTAAAACAAGTGTGCTATATATAACTTTGTAAACAAACATTTTGATTTTCAGTAAATTTTATAAACTTGAGACTTCTTTGATATCGCTATTTCACATCGTAGGGCATGTACTGGGACATTGTAGCGCGTGTACTGGGACATTGTAGCGCGTGTACTGGGATATTGTAGCGTGTGTACTGGGACATCTACGATGTCCAGCCCTGAAGGTTACCGGTCCATGGCTCGGTAATGTATTATTTACTCGTGATATTTAGAGAGAGTAGAGGCCTTGCGGTATATAGCTCGCTGTCGCTTCAGAGGCGCTCAGTCTCTGTGTGGAACAATGACGTTCAGGAGCCGGCCTTGCAATCTCGACAGAAATATTTTAAATTCAAATCTTACTTTGAATCAAAAATATATGCTGTGTGGGTCTCCGAGAGAAAACATTAACATTTGACGCAGTTTATTTAGCTCACCAGAGTCTTAGACTGCTCACAAATTATAGGCATCGTTTAGACATCGTCAAGTCTTGTCCTTTACAAAAATTTTTTACGTTTATTGATAGTTTGCCAAGGTCAAATATGAGATAATTAAAATTTATTATTCAGAAGGTTCACTAGATAACTTGTGTTTACATAGATTTAATTTTTTGATGCAATTTCGATTTATCTATAACTTCGTCAGATCGTATTTTGTCAACTCACATTTGGACAGATGGTGGTGTATTTTTGCGGCCTGAATGTGAAATCTCATTGGGGTCATCCATTAATTCATTTGAGTTCTGTGCAATAAGATTGCATTAAAGCAAATAATCTTACCGAATCTTTACAATGATGTTGAATAACAGGCTAATGATAACTATAGCCAGGCTGATGATACTGATGGCAATCCAACATCCTCGTTATGTCGAGGGCTTCAGAAACAGAGTGGCTGAAACAAAGACTCCTTCGCTTAACTATTTGGACAATGTGACGTTTTAATTTTTCTGCTTGTTGTTGTCTGCCTCGCTGCTTACCGTAAGTCTTGACATGGTATAGGTGCTTGTACAGTGAACAGTACTAATGGCGGCCACTACAATTTTCAAGTACTAACCGCCACTATTTACCGTGCTATTGGCCTCGTTTATAGTTGCTAGATGCCACGGAAGGACCCAGTAACCCTTCATAATTTCATATATACCAGGCCAATAGCACTGTAACTATTGTCGGATATTACTTGAAAATGTTAGTAGCCGCCACTGTCGGGGAAACTAACGTAAGCCCGACCGTAACATACGGGATCGTCCTGTAACTTGCAGCAAGCTTCCATATCACATGTTAATTCAATCTGTGTGTAGTCATTCATATGCTTGCCAATACTTCATTATCCGTCATTTGTAAATAAACCATTCTAAACCATCGCCGACTTATTGAACCTGGGTTAATTCCATTGTACATATAGCAAGACCTATACCATCCACCACAGCCACTACTTTCTCTGTATCCAAGCGCCTTATGGCCCAATAATAATCTTGATAATAAAATTATCGATCGAATAAAATTATATCGAATAAAAATTACTTGGAGTAGCGACTGAATGAGCAAACACTGGTAAGAAATTATCTCACTTCAATGCAGTGTTTGTTTGAAATATACATGCCTTTTTCATATAAATATTTAATGCTCTCTTGCGGGTAAATGCCATCCAATTTGGTTGTAATTTTCCTGTGCAGTTCGGCTCTCCTACTGCGGCCGCCCTGCGGTGGCCCCGCGAGAGCCTGTCGGTGGCGGTGTTGCTGGCGGCGGCGGTGGTGCTGCTCGCCACGTGTTGCGGTGCATGTCTTCTGGCCACCGCCGTCTGTTGCGGCTCAAGGAGACGCAACACCGTAGCACAGGGGGCGCAGGGGGCGCAGTCCAGGTGGCTGCCGGGGGTGGGGGTTATAGACTACGTGGCGCCGTCTGAACGGTGCGTTCAGGGTGCAAAACCCGCTGTGAAAAGCGACAAAAGCCGGCAAAACATAACCCAACCTGAAAATATTTCTATTTTATGCTATATTAGGCAATATTTTTTTTATTTTCACTATTATACTATTTTTTACTATTTTATGCTATATTATACAATATTTATTTTTATTTTTACTATTATACTATTTTTTACTATTTTATGCTATATTATGCAATATTTTTATTATCTTACATCTTTTATGTTACAAGATT